TAGACGTTGAGTGGGTTTTGGCTTATCCGCTCCGTCAGTTCCTGTGCTAAATACTTGTATGTGAAATGTTATGGTGCATTTTCTAGCCTGCGAATACAGCCGTTTCTTCTTGCTCCTCGCCGCGAGGGGCGTTTAGGGAAACGTCCCAAGCGGCGAGAAACAAGGAGAAACGGCTTTATTCGCAGGGTATGCATTTACAGGTATGAATGACAAAATGAAAAAAAATACGGGAACAATTTGTTACGCCTTTCAACAGACAGTTTCTCAGTTTGTTAGCGGTAGAGGAAGAGCTACACGTTATAAGGCGGCTAATTTTTAATGGCCCAGTTTGGAAAACTACAACTTCCTCAAGTTCATTTCAAGGGATCTTTATTTTGGTAGTCGCGTTCAACTTAATCACTTTATTTCCTGATCGTCTACTGTGATCCCGACGATTGCTGTTTCTGCTTTTTTATTTCAATTTTGCCCTCAGCTCTTTTAGAGGGTACGTTTGGGCTTGCTGACCGCCCATGTTCTGATCAAGATGTAAAAAAGACTCTTGAGTAGGGTAGATTTTACTAGCTCAAAACAGAGGTCACGGAAAATTGTTGTTTTAGGATTAAATAACCCTTTCCCGGTTTAGCATTATCCCGCCAGCTAAGACCGGGAAATAGACGTATTATCCCTTCTAAGTCAGATGTTCTATATCAAGAGAGGATAAAAGACCCTTCTCTGACCTTCTCTACTCTCTTGTTGTTATATATTATTGGTGTTTCTCTTCATGTCTTTGATCACAGCTTGCGCCTTTAGCTTAGCATCTTTCATTTGGTTTTCATTCTTTCTCTTTTCAGACGTCATGTGAATATAAACAGCATATTATTAATTCCCTTCAGGGCTTTTCAAAAATAATTTACAACGGTGTGTGTTAGCTTGTTTGTGCAGTTTACAGTTGAAAGAGTAATGGGTTATGAATGCTATTCTATTGTTACTAATGTGAAATCAGAAGAAAAAAGAGTTAGTATCACTGCCACAGATTTGATACGTCGCTGGCAGTTTTTGCGTCCAGTTCCACTGAGTCTTGGAGTAAAAGTATTTTTAGACAGGGATACGGTAGCCTTTGTACAGCCGCCCTCTCTAAACAACAACGACGGCGACGTCGTGCTTATTCCATCTAACGTTGGCAAATTTTTTTTGGAGTTGAATAATTCCAAAGGACTGTATCAAAGTTGAGGAAAAGGAAAAGAAACGTTGTTGTCTTGTGTTCCCGTCCTTGACAAAACGTTATATTACGCAGTTTCACGTTGTAGGCGTGCAATGAAATTTAAAAGAAATGTACAGAAAGAGCGTGATGTATGTCAAAGTTGTTGTTCTGCTAATATAGACCCAATGCCTTTTTGCCGTTGCCGTTTTCGTTGCCGTCGCCGTCGTCGTTGCTTAAGCTCCCTAAAAATGAGCGGAAGGAGCGGCCGTACACAGGGTAGGAATACGGGTTTTCGTCCTTGTCTGCGAACACTAGATAGTCTATCTATTGGCAGACGTCCCAGGAAAGGCAGCACGTTCACCTTAGTAGTTGAAAAATAAACCCGAGTGTTGGTCGGGTCTCATCTGGTAGGGAATGGAACGCGGGCTTTTGGCTACCCAGGTGACCGTCTAAGAAAAACTCGGCGTGGAGTTTAGTTTAGAAAGTGCAACAGAGGAAATGTAGTGTTATTTTTGGGCATGTTTTGACAGGTCATATTTGATTAAATTCGATAAATTTTAACTGTGGTGATATCCTGAGCTATGGAACTGATAAGTATGTATGTAAGCATGTGTCAAAGATGCGTTTTCCAACACTTTTTTTAAACCTCGAGTACATATTAAAATTAAAGCCATATGTACAGAGATGTAAACTGATAGGCTTCAAACCACAAAACGTGTTGAAATTTGGATGAGCCTCGCTGAAACAAATCGTCAAATATGACTTGTCTGGGTAACTTTTCATCAGTACATACACTGAAGCCATTTGAAATATTTCTACTGGTATCAAACACCGACTTAGGTATCCAATTTCCCCCCCAAATAGCTTTACCCTCCGGCTTTGCTCCTAACATAGCAGCGTTTCTATTTTTAAGTTTCTCTATAAAATCCTCATGTTCTTATGGAATTTCTCGGTCATGACATTCCCGAGAGAGACTCGCTGCATGCTATCATTCAATTAAAATCTCATTGCACTAGCATGCTCCTGTAATACAAGATGTTTTTCTGTTTCTTTTGCTGGAGAAATGAGTTTTTTTACCTCTGAGTTTCAGCTTTAAAGCTGACGACAATAGAAATGAAAGTAGATCTTTTCTATAAAGGTACACAACCACATTTGTCCGTGACGCTTCACAATCATGATATGGTAAAAAGAATGAAGCCAAAAAGCGTACAAAAACATTGAAATCTAAAAATATACCGCAGATAGTGGATATTGTCCTTAACAGGACAGGGGCACCCAACCTCAAATATCTGTTCGGAAGACGATTTGAGATCTAGAATTTTCGGAACATTTGTCGTAAATTAATTTCTTGCTTGCCTGCCTCTTCTAGGATTTTCGAACATCTAAAAAATGGTATAATTGCCCATTTTTAACGGATGTTTACCCCAAAAAGGTCACCTAGAATTTTCGGGAGCCTTTTTTCTGGCTGAAATTTTCGAAAAGGTAAGTTTTGATCCGTATAATTTTCGGATCACTAGACTTTCAGCTAGGAAATCCGAACAGGTAAAAAATTTTTAGGGGATAAAAATGTGCCCATGTCTAGCGTTTAAATACGAAAATACGTTCGACAATGCTATGTTTTAGTGGTTTTGAACTATATTCTCTTTGGGTGCCCCTGACAGGACGATACACAACATTAATTGTAGACTGCTATTAATAAACATTCTTTCTGATTAATTTGTTTCGAGTACGCCGCCCAGGGAGATTGCATACAGCAATACAGAATTTATTGTGTAACTGAGTAGAATTTTTTCAGAGTGCCTGAGATTCCTAGAAGTTTTCTCGAGGCTCGAGAACCCACAAAAATAGATTGGGGTTGCGAGATCAACTTTCCCCGACATCTATTTTTTGAACAGCCGATCACAGCCGTTTGAAAAAAAAAAGGTATCGATGCCATCCTTGTCGTATTCCCGGGGTCGTATAGACCAGCTTTGTCACGGTTTTCGACACCATCTTGACGAGTAGTCAAACGTGTGAGAAATACAGTGTTTGTATGAGAATCTAATGTCGAATAATTTCCGTAAAACGACTGTTCTGAAAAGATTATGACTTGTAAACTAAAGCTACAAAACAAAGGATTGTGCTAAAGAAATTTTGGGGGGCTTACCTGTGCTTAAATTTCTCCACAGGCTTGCTTTATATGTTCCATATATTTGACTGTAATTTTTTTCCCGGGACTTTCTTACCGACAAATGTATAGAAAATTTTAAAAATTGGTTCTGGGTCTTCTAGCGCATGTAACGCCCTCATTTTTTTTTTCAGAAGATTCCTTAAGAGTGAAGCTTTAGTTTACAAGTCATATTTTTTTCAGAACAGCCATTCTACGGAAATTATTCGACATTAGATTATCATACAAACACTGTAAATAATTTCTCGCCCGTTTGCCTACTCGTCAAAATGTGGTCGAAAACCGTGACAAGGTCTATTTGTACGCGATGTTGACATAGCGGATCACAAATCTCTTTAACTTGTGCCTTATCAATACAGGCATGACAAAGAACGACTTTAATATAAATATATAAAAAACAGTGATAGCAATCAGCGTTCGACTAATTAATTGCAAATTGGACAGAATTTTGATTAAAGGTTGTCTTTTGTTTTATCAACGCTGACTATCGATGTAATCATATAACGAAACGATAGGCTTTCAGATGGCACCCCCTGAAAACGATAGCAATACGCATGAAGTTCGGATATTCGAGAAATGAATGTTGATTTTTTTATGGGATTTTGTCCCACTACATCTTCAAATCTTGTACAATCGACCTTCAAAAAGGAAAGAGAAATACTTTCACAAAGGTCAGGTCCAATATTTAATGCTGAACTAATTTTTTCTATGGGAACGCACCTCCAAGAGAGGCCTAAATCAAATTTACTTAATTTGCTCCATTACTTTGTAACCCAAATGTATAAGTTTTAGTTGCTAAGTTCAAAAAACAAATACACAATGTTAAGCATTAAACAAAATTAGTCTTTAAGAAATGTCATTAAACGGATTTAATCCATGGGCTCAAAATAGTTCTAATAAAACTACCCTAGAGGAAGCTTTAAGACTTAGAAGTTCTTTAGAATAACTCTGGAAAAAGGACTAAATCCTTTCCCTGCACTAGTTAAAAAATCAAACCTTAACTAGTAAACGTTTTTTAACGTTTTTCTAACGTTTTTTAGTAAAAGAGGTCTAATCATTAGGCAAAGGCTGCAGTACAAAAGGAGCGCCTTTGCCATAAAAAGGGGTGGGACAAAGACAAAACGGTGAGGTTTTACCACAGTAATAGATGGAGTCTGTGCTTAAGTGGCTGAAATCATACCTGTCTTCACGTAAGCTGTTTGTTAAAGTTGGGAATAGTCATTCTTCACAACGTGCATTGAAGTGTGGTGTCCCTCAGGGATCAGTTCTGGGCCCTTTGTTGTATTTGTTATACACATCACCTATTGCGGACATAATAAATGATCATGGACTATCATACCATCTATATGCTGACGACACCCAATTATATATTACCTTTAAATCTACCAGCTTGAATGACATCCAACAAGTGAAGTTGAGAGTGGAATGCTGTGTGAGGGACATTGATGAATGGATGATAAGAAACTATCTTAAACTAAACCAGGACAAAACGGACCTTGTAGTCATCAGTTCCAGATTCCATCCTATGCCTGACATCGGTCACATTACTGTTGGTTCTGAGTGCATTGCACCTCGTGACTCTGTTCGTAATTTAGGGGTTCAGTTTGATAGCATATTTAGTTTTGAGGAGCACATTAAGAACATTTGTAAATCATCATTCTATCATATGAGAAATATTGCTAAAATCCGCAAGTACTTAAGCCAAGATACATGTAAAATCTTAGTCCATGCATTTATTAGTTCGAAACTTGATCACTGTAATTCCTTATTACATGGCCTTCCTAAGTATCTGTTAGCTAGACTACAGGCAGTTCAGAATGCTGCAGCTCGTGTTGTCACATTGACACCGAGGCATGTTCATATAACTCCTATTTTAATTAATCTTCATTGGTTACCAGTTGAGTTTAGAATAACTTTTAAAGTCCTTTTATTGGTATACAAGGCCCTTCATGGCCTTGCACCTTCTTATATTTCTGACCTTTTGAATTTTAAAACATACTCTAGGTCATTGCGTTCTTCATGTAAAGAATACTTAGTGGTTCCAAGAAGCAGATTGAAAACATATGGAGACAGAGCTTTCTCTATTGCAGGACCTAAATTGTGGAACGATTTACCTCTAGAGATTAGGAAATGTGCTTCAGTGGCGACTTTTAAGCAATCCCTTAAAACTTTTTTATTTAAGTTAGCATATAGGTTATGAGATTCCTTTTGTTTTGAGATGTTTTTGATTTATATAGTAGATAACTTAGGCTATATTTGAATTATATTGTATATTGTAGATATTTTATATTTTAGATTTTTTATATTTTATTTTGTAATTAGGTAGCGCTTTGGACAATTATTGGATTTTAGCGCTATATAAATAAAATTATTATTATTATTTATTATTGGTATGGTTGTTCTAACTTTCGAAAGAGACTATGGTCTGACCACCAGTATCGCTAGGCATGATACTGTTTCTTATGCTGTACAAGATGGTTTGAACTTTTGACTCAAATGAAAGCTACTTAGAAGGAATTTCTTGTGGTACTATTTTAATGCTGTACAGGGTGGTTCTAACTTTTGACACTGGACAAAATCCTGTGGTGTGACCATTCAAGGAAACCTCTCTTGGCAGCACATGGAATGACTTGATTTTCATCTTGAATTTAATATGTTGGGTCCACATGTGGGAGTAGGTGAGACGGTAAAATCTGGGCAAGGGGTGTTGCCTTCTCGGCTGGAACTGACATATGGCTTTTTACTGGTAATGGTGAGATTTTGTTTTCGTCCAGTTACCCAAGATTAAAAATATTGTAACAGTACACATTTTCATGTGAAACCGAGTCTTGACATCGCAATGTGAACATTACAGGAGACTGGAGGTCAATGTATATCACATCAACTTTAGTGAGTGACGAGGCCAATTCCGGAAACCAAACCCTGTCACAATTACTGAGTCAAGCAAAGGTCCTGGTTGTGGTGGATTCCAAAGCTTCATGATTGTTCAGCGTTCTGCTCTGCACTGCTTCGACTGGTATCTTTGGAAAGGGATAGCATGGTGGACTCTGTCTCGCCAGGTCTTACGATTATTTGCTTGCACTGTCTAATGGCCTTAGTCCATGCATCGGCGAGGCGAGTGCCGTTCAGTTCCAAAGCGTCTTTCTGCCTCTCTCTTCTTACCCCTTTATCACGGTGGCCGGAGAGCAGTTCCCTATGCGGCGAGGCCTTTGGCAGGCAGTAGTCCTTTGTTCTGGTGCCACGCCTCAAGGGGCATAACCTTAATATTGGTCACTCCGCTTCAAATGAAGGCCTTGTATGTTCTTCCGATGTTGAGTTCGTTCGATGTTGCTTCCCATCCAGTAGATGTTGAGGATCACGTGCAACAGCGCTAATGGAATTACTCTGGCAGGCGCACGTGGGAAGGTACGTGACTGACCTTTGAGGGCTATATAGGATAGTCATCAACACAATAGCTTTGGATACACCGGTCGGTGTGTGTCTGTTGAAGTTATTCTTGTGGCACATGATTTTGCACAGTCAGGCAGTTGTCCACTTCCTTGTGACAGCGGAGGAAACCACCACACCAAAAGAAACCAACCTACCAGGTATCCGAACTGATTAACTTTTTCCAGCCCTGCATTTTTAAAGGAGATGATCTGTGGATGCTTCTCCTATTCGGTGTCTGGCGGCTGGTGGAGACTTTTAGTCTTCTTTACGACGACGTACGCTGACGGCCAACAAACTGAAGAGATAATGTTCATGGCTGACTGTCTGGCTGACGTAGTGTGAGTAACGTAGGCAGTGTTGTAAGCAAAAAAAGTTGCGTTCACAGTTTTACCAGAGTTTCTGCTTGGGTCTTCAAACGCCTGTAGATGAAAAGGCTGCTGTAAATACATGGCTTAATCAAGAGTTGGTCTAAAATTCACCACTGGTGAACGGTCCTCGCTGACTATTTTCTTAAAACATGTATTCTCGATTATGGAAATAATCCTCTCTTGCCTTAGCCATGATTGAAATGGAAGTGAGGGGTTAAGAGGCAGGCAATAGAACTGCCATGGGTGAGACTAGACTTTGCAAAAACCCGCTTTGTTTGGGTTCGTTTAATACTCGTTTCGCACGACTTCGTCTCTCAGGTTAAAGTCGGCGTGTCGGTAAGTCTTGTGTGAGACGTGGACAGGTGGAAAATGGTCCATCGGGCTTGGACTTTAAGTTATTACCTAACAAGTGATAGCTCCATGGCCATGCCCAATCCATACCACCAGATTCTCTCCTGTTTACCAGGGTCCGAGAACCGTGAGCAAGAGATTGGTATCGGGTATACCGAGAACAGGACGCTTTTGTACCTTTATCGTGAAAGACCACCGTGAAGGTCCTGTACTCTGTGCTGCTGTCTACTCAAGTTCTGACAACTCCAACAACAACAAGTTTAATCTCAGATTCTGAAACATTGTCGGTTCTACAGACCTGTAGGAGCCCTAAATAAACAGCATGTAGAGGTTGATTACCTGCTAGGATAGATAAGAACAACGGGAGCAAGGGTGGCGCATTGGTGAGAGCACTCGTCTCCTTCAAATGTGTCCTGGGTTCAAATGCCGGCGTCGACGCCATATGTGGGTTTGTTGCTGGTTCTCTCCTTTGCTGAGAGAGGTCCTTTCCGGGTACTCCGGTTTTCCCCTCTCCTCAAAAACTGGCATGTCCAAATTCCAATTCGGCCAGGAATGGTAGACGAAGAACCACTTTGTGGTTATGCTGCCTCTATTTCGTTATATTTGATGTTATTTATTTAATATTTTATTTATTTATACGAGAAATTGATCACTAAAGCCAACAGCCGACTAATTAAATTTCTGCTAAATTAATTACGATACCCTGGCGTTTTGTTCGGCTTGTTTGGCTTCTTTCGGAAATTACATTTAGATGGAATGATTAATAGCCTATTTGTCCACGACAGTTGAAATACTATACTGTGCGTGAAATTGAGCTAGAATCTTGAAGAAACTAAACGTCTGGTCAACTTTTAACTTGGAGGAAATACGTTTTTTGAGGAAAAGCGAGTCACCGTCGACCCTTAAAACTCGAAATGACGAGACACTTAAATTAGATCACATTGTGTACTTTATGAAATTCCTTCACTCGACCGCAGGTGACCCAAGCACGAAATATGAGCAGTTGCACTGTGGCATAAACGTCGTAACATGAGGAGCCCTTTACAATTTGCAGGCTCTTTTAAACCTGTTTTATGGCCATAAATCTTGTCAGGAATTTGTTTAACATACAACTGAAGTTAGGTAAGCCGTCTTTGATTTGATTTGATGTCGATTGATTAGATTTCAAAGGTTACGCAACAGTACAAACGGCCATATTTTGAGCTTGGTCTCTTGTCTACCTGGGTCTACCTGGGACTCAGCACGCTCTTCCTCTGTTGGCCGCCAGCAAATAGATTTATTTTGATTAACAGCGAGACCTTTGCTGAGACAAATTAGGTTTGCAAAGCGAAGCAAGGTTACCGATCAATAGTATGGTTTAATGAAAAACATATTATTTCACTACTGGCTATTTTTTTGATTAAGAGGCTTTTCTTAGGTTGTACGAACAGCCATTCTAGCCTGACATACACGGCAGAATTTTTGTTAAATATAGTGAAAATATAAAAAAAAAAAAAGATAGCACATTTTAAGGGCAAGGACTGAAAGTAAATAATCTAACAGCTTTTTCTTGATCGCCTATCTCAAATTAAATCCAGACCTTAGTTAAACTGTAATCATTTCCATCTTTTGTAGAGCAGTCAATACAGCAGTTTATCCCCGGAGTTTATCTTCAATCACATTTGTCGTTGTTAACTGTAAAATCAATTTAATTGCTGCCAGCATACGGCAAATCGACGCGGGAATTTGGAATTTTCCTAGAGTGATCATTTTATACTAGTCATTTGAAATTTTCTATCAAGTGGTTATTCAGATTGGAGAAGCTATCTATCATGAATTACAGCTTTCATCGGCTTTCTGCATGTCTTTTGCACCCCCCAACCTTGAAGAAAGGCAAGCTAAATAGCGGCGGCATACTAGAGTTTCATTTTAGACAGACGTAACTTATAGGCGAAGTTATAATTGTTCACTTCTTACCGCCCACTCTCAACAGCGTGGGAAGTCAGGCTATAACTGTTATGATGACTCATCACTAACATGCTTTATTCTATCAGTTGTTACATGTCTGATGTTTTAGCCGTGTTCACTGCAACACTTAAAGAGCCACTGGCCAAATTTTACACACGGCATAAGGAATCACTCTAAGTTGAATTTTGAACTCCTAGTAGTGAAAAACGGTCGTCTGAGAAGTGGTTCCTTTCTTCTTCGTGAAACACCCAGTTAGATTTCGTTATTTCCCCTTTAAAAAGCCGAATTTAGCACTGTTTTTAGCCAGAGCATCGTGAAATAAGACCAACTTAGTTAAAGAAAGTTGACGTGTGAGCATTTTGCCAATGCATGTGAATAATTACGTCTATGACTTCCTGAACTGCTTTTTAAATGTCTCCGGTTTGATGTCGTGTGGGGTAATTAATTGGTTTCCAAAATTTCCTCTATCTGCTCTCTAGTTACATCACAAAAGCAATACGTGTTCACTGAAACTAGTGGTATTAAATTAAACTGAAAGGCATTTATCACGAGAGATAAGGAAAGGAAGACCTTGAGGCGGGAACACTTTAACAACTATCAAGCCATCAGTTCAGTCTCAACAGGAAACAACAATCAATTGGCGATAATATCGCACCAGGGTAAGAAAAAAAGCAGTCAGTAATCGTATAGAGTTATATATAAAATCAAAAGCTGAACGTTATGTGGTTGTCTGTTCCTTATCTTTCTTTAAATGGAGTTTAATGAACTGCGGTGGCTTTTTCGGATGGTTGGTTAAATGGCAAGAACTGAGTTGTATACCCTGGTTTTCTTTGGATAAACAGGCCACCTAAAAGGTGCAACTGAAAAAGCGCTAGCCTTTTAGAACAAGAAACTGTGGGTAACTGCATTTTCTTGGTGAAACGCTCCTTGCGTTTATTTCAAACTTGATGGACCAGGCGTTTGTTTGAATCTGTAGTTTTTTGTGAGCACGTGCTTTTTTGAGAAGGGTTTTTATTCTTTTTTTTCTTTACAGCTATGTATCTTGCCCTTGATCGTAAGTTTATTAAAACACCCAAATATGTGTCTTGGGGTCTTTCTTTAGGGGCTATTTTACAGCCCTCTCTTCAGACCTTGACACTTCGTTTAATCGAGAAAAAGTACAGTTTGTGTGGATACATATCCAGTGATGAACCTACGCTTTAAGTTGGGACATGGTAACTTGGCAGAGAGGAATAGATTAGTGGGATAAAAAGCGTTGCTGTATTCTGACAAGATTAAAATTGCTTTTTTGCAAGATAGTTTCAAGCAACAGTTTGTGTTGTCCTAAAATAGAGAAAGCTGGCCACTAATTGTTGTGTTTTGGCTGAAACGGTCAACAGGGTTGAAATGTCGACCGACAGGGTCTTGTCATTTCTTTCAACATCAAGCTGAGGTGGATATAGGTTACTTATTTCCCAAAAAATGAATAAATAAACAACACGAGCCACCGATAGACTTTTATAAGGTGATGTTACACCGGACAATTCGCAACGACGATTTTTAGCGCAACGGAACGTTGGAACATTGTTGCAACATTGCCTTTTAACAGCTGCAACATTGTTCCAACGTTGCAACGCTGTGTTCCGCTAAAAATCGTCGTTGTAAATCGTTACGTGTAACATCACCTTTACGGAGTTATTAAAAATTGTCCTCGTTGGTAAAGTCAGCTGCTTGAATTCATTTACAAGCTATGCATTTAATCCAGTCGCAGAGACGTACGTGTAAGATGCGCTTGCGTTTGCTGCTAAGAGTTCAAGTTCAAGTTCATTTATTCACACTTATTCAATTACAATACAACAACAATAAGAAAAAAAAGAAGAAGTAAAAACAGAGCTAACTATACATTGAATTAAACATAACAAAGGAAGAGTGTGTAGCAGCCAAAGGAGCCAAGCTTTCAAGTTGGCTACTATACAGTACTTATAAAAAAACTATTTAAATTAAACAATTAAATAAATAGAGCTAAGTAACAGATTTTAGTTGTTCAAGATGCCTGACTGTCAAGTAGAAAGAGGTTATATTCTTTTCTAAAACTGTTCAAGGGAAGACACTTAATTTTCATAGGTGTTGCTTCCCAGATCTGTGATGCCACTACACTAAACCTTGCCAGGCCATACCGTAATTAGTTCTGGAAAACGGTCTGCACAGGTTTTAATTAGTGGCATACCTAGTATTATAATTATGGACAGCTGAAACCGGTTGAACTAAGTCATAGAGGGCAGGAGGTGTATCTTTTTTTTGATATTGAATTTTCTGCACAAGAGCGCCAGAGAGATCAGTCTTAAGTCACTTTTCCTTTTTGTATCGCCTCCAGAAAATATATGACCTGCGTCCTTGCTTTAAATCACAATTAACAGAGCAACACAATTAAAGGGCAAAGGCTTGGTTACAATATTTAACCTTGGCAAATTCATTTCCCACATTGGATGGGCAGATGTGTAATTTTGATGCAACTTAATTATTGTTGTTTACTAGGTTAAGATTTTTTCGCCCATAACAGAATTTCCACCGACTCCACCACTGTAGACACTGTGATGAAGTGCAGACCAGTTGACACACACCTCATGGTTCTCTTCTTTATTAGTTACTCTGTCAAAAGGCTAGGATAAAAAATTCATGGAAATTTCCAAATTCAGTTTTGTGAAATGCTGTAAAACAAACAGTACTGCGTGAAAGTACTGCCTTAAAGCTTTTACTTGAATGGTGACACTGTAGGATTTCATCTTAAGACGCAAAATTTAGAACCACCTTGAACAGCATAATAAACAGTTCCACAGGAAAGTACTGCTCAGTAGCTTTCATTTGAATGGTCACACCATAGGATTTCGTTTACAGACTCAAAAGTTAGAAACACCTTGTACAGCATAATAAACAGTACCACAGGAAAGTACTGCTCAGTAGCTTTCATTTGAATGGTCTCACCATAGGATTTTGTCTGTGGACTCAGAGGTTAGAACCAACTAACGAGTCGCCATTAGTTCACTCTGAGAGGACAAGCGTTAAGCCGATGTTAGGTCACTGCATTTTCCCCGCTGGGCAATTCGTATTAACGTTCCTCTGTTTGCCCCTTCGTTACTTTTTGGCTTTTCTGTAGTTATCTTTATTCTTGCTCAATGTAGTCACTACGGGTTCAGCCTTCGTAGCAACAACAGCGTAAAAATAAACTTTATCGTCTGGTATATCATAATTTGTGATGAATTGTACACCAGGGATTGTACACAGCCAATAGTGATGAGAGGTTTTTATTTCCAGGCAGTCTGCGGCGGGGAGATATTCGTTGTAAAGTGTTCGTTACATAACTGCCTTACTAAAAAAAACTTACTCGCTTAACGTTACATAACTGTCTTACCGAGATGTTGAAAAAAATGACAAACAAAGGTGCGTTAATGAATCACGCACCATTTTAACCTTCCAAAACATGTCACTCCTCGGTCTCTCGTACTGCAAGGCAACACGGGAAGCTGCAAAAATGTTAAACAAAAAATTATCTTGCAACGCTGGTCCTTCAACTCATTCAAAATTAACATTATTTTAACATGTTCCTCTGGTTTCTACCAATCGTGTTTCTCTACCATTCGATGAATAAACCACATACAACCCACGGTTCGCCGATTCGTTCTGACGAAGAGCTAGCGCTGGAAAAGTCAGCTTTTAACTTTTCTTATGGTTGTGAATTGCCTTTTGTCAACACAGCGGGTATATTATAAGCACATCTTTTTGAATTGCCAACGGACGATTTTGGCGATTTTACATCTCCTAGAATTCGTTTTGGGTTTCGTTTCTTGACTCTTTAAGCCGACTGAGGGTACGTCAGCGTTTACGTTACGCACGGTCTTTGCCTCTTTTCTATTTACAAGCTTAAAATGGAGAGGAGAGGTCGTTACGTCAGGTTGCCATGGTAGCAAAATTTTTGGATGTCAAGAAACCGCAAATTCATTAAAAAGTAAATTCGCACTGTTTCAAACTTCATCGATCTTATTCAGTTTCATTTAATAGTCAAATGCTGGCGAAATTTTCTGGATTGAATCCGAAATAACCGTATCTGAGTTTAGAAAAAGAAAAAGAAACTTTTTGTCTTGTGTTCACCTGCTCCGCGAAGCGGGCGCGTGAAATTGGCCATTTGCACTAAGAGGTCATGTGACATCATTTTTAAAAAATGAAATTATATGATTTTGCCTTCGAAAAACGATTAGTGGGTCATATCTTGGAGGGCAAGAGTATGCCCTCCAACATGGCGGCCAATACAAATCATAATACTTTGTTGAAAAATCAAAGTGCCATAAAATGTCTCCCTTAAGTGCCTTTCCTCTCAAATTTCGGGTGTAAGATAATTTTTATGTGCTCTGTCAATTTTTGGCTTCAGCGAGATTTCAACTCATTGTTTAAAGGAAGCTTTGGTTACGTGACCTCTTAGTGCAAGTGGCCTATTAGGAAGTTTCGTGTCGCAGTGTTGTAACGATGGCTAAAAAATGTGCAAAAAACCGTGATCCACGTGCAAAGTTGTTGTTTTACTAATATAAACTTTTTTTTTTTTTGCCGTTCTCGTTGCCGTCGCCCGTCGTTGTTGCCTAAGCTCCCTTTTGTTGTCATCCCAAAATTTTGCTACCATGGTAGCGTGACGTCACACCTCTCCTGTCTGTTTGCGTGCGTACACACGTAAGAATTATGCGACAGTGGAAATCCAATGAAAGTCTAGCTGGGGTTGAAAAACTATTCCAATAACTCTAATTTGCGCAGAAAACAAAATGATGAAGTTTTCTAGTAGTTCGATGCATTTCTATGAATTAAAACAACGCCTTCGCCTTCCACCTAAAACCCGGACTGAAACATTTTCGCGCATGCGTATCTCTCTGTACCCTTATAACTTCTCTAGTTTTCGGATCGGTCATGAGGTTTTACTAACGGGTTGACTAACAGGTTTATACACCAAAAACCTGTCGTACTGTAAATTGTTAAGTCTAATGCACTGTATAGGTCATATGATTTTTGCAAGGTTATTAACTGAAATTTGTCACATAAAAGGTCTGTCAAGTGAGGGTCAACAAAGTTTTTAAATGTTTGTGAGCATGCGTGTAACTGGTGTCAGGGTATCTTTAGAGGATAATAGGATTTGTTAGTTTCGGTTTAAGTAGCTATAATTGTAGTCATATGAATGAAAGAATTTAAAGCGTCAGAGCTTTTTAAAAAGAAAAAAAGAGAAAAACGTGTCAGCATGCAAACTAAAGAAGTTTCATATGAAAAACACGTTCGTTGTCAAAATTATGTTATGAATATAAGATCCACTGGATCGGATATGTTTTGAAATCGATAAATAACGTTTGTTTATTGTGAATCCCTAGTTCTTCCGGTTCCCATGCTTAGTATTACATGTAAAATAAGAGGACTTTTCAGTGATTGGGCGTGTTTAAAACATCAGTTCAAATCGATTTCGATGTAGCGTACATTTTAGAAACAAAATCACTGTTTAGGGTGTTGAATACGGCTTCTCAAATAATCAGTAATTCGTGTAGAAATTCACAGCATGAATCGCAACATCTAAAGATGAAAGTAATCCGCTTTCATCAACATTTATTGACTGTTAAAAATATATGCAATTAGAGAGAGATGTTTTTACATTCAGCCACACTAGCAGCTCCGAAGAACAAATCCGAGCATTCTCAACAATAGCTCTCATTTGAATGATCACCCCATAGGATTTCATCCACAGACTCAAAAGTTAGAACCACCTTGTACAGCATAATAAACAGTACCACAGGAAAGTACTGCTCAGTAGCTTTCATTTGAATGGTCACACCATAGGATTTCATCCACAGACTCAAAAGTTAGAATCACCTTGTACAGCATAATAAACAGTACCACAGGAAAGTACTGCTCAGTAGCTTTCATTTGAAAGAAAGAAAGAAGGACATTTCTGTACGTCGTCTGTTTTGTGATGTTAGGAAATAGGTAAAAATAAAACAACTATTAATTTTAAGATGGTGATATATATTTACGCGACATATAAGTGGCCCTCTATTTCTCAAAAAAATTGTAAAAATCACTCTATTATTTATGGTATTCTCAAAGGCTGTTAGAAAAAAATAAAAAGTGTACAACAAAATCAAGTTCTGAGATGAAAGAGTTTTAAAAGGGGAACAAGAATCAAGAAGACATTTTCCCAAAAAAGATTTATTAGAGCTAATTGAGTATTGATTGGTGCGCTTTTTTCCATGATTGTCCCGTGGAAGTGCTACTGAGGGGATTCATTTGAAAGTTCATTCTTTCGGATTTCTTAGACAAGAAAGGTTAGAGCCACCTTGTACAGTATAAAAAATAATACCAAAGGAAAGTACTGTTCAGTAGCTTTCATTTGAATGGTCATACCATAGGATTTCATCCACAGACTCAAAAGTTAGAACCACCTTGTACAGCATAACAAACGGTACCACAGGAAAGTACTGCTCAGTAGCTTTCATTTGAATGGTAACGTTACACCATAGGATTTTGTCCACAGACTCAAAAGTACGAACCACCTTGTACAGCATAATAAACAGTACCACAGGGAGGTACTGCTCAGTAGCTTTCATCTGAATGGTTACTCCACAGACACAAAAATTAGAAACACTGTTTACAGCATAATAAACAGTACCACAGGAAAGTACTGCTCAGTAGCTTTCATTTGAATGGCAACGTTACACCATAGGATTTTGTCCACAGACACAAAATTTAGAACCACCTTTTACAGCATAATAAACAGTACCACAGGAAAGTATTGATCAGTACCTCAGTTTCATCTGAATTGTTACTCCATAGGATTTGTCTACAGACTCACTTTGTATAGTATAATAAAAAACAGTACCACATGAAAGTACATTCATTTTATTTAAATGGTCACACCAAAGGGATTTCATTCACAAATTTAGACTGTTCCGTAATTAGAAAATCATTTGTTCTCTATAAACCTCAAATGTTTTTACAACGTGACTAAGAACCGAAACCTGTGGAATGAACGAAACTGCAATTTAGCTCGTGTTTTGTATGCTAAAAGCAATAGCTTATCCTTAATTTTTCTGAAGCTTTCATTTAAAAAAGTTCTATTTTTAATCAGTACGAACCCAGTGCAAAAATACAGATAGTTTCTTGGTGTCGCGAACGGGTGCAATCACCAAATGATGTAATATGAAAAATTGAAAAGACACAGAAGAATACCCACACCAACAATAGGGAACAAACAATAGCTTCCTCTTATCATAAATAATCTTTTTTTTTCTTTACCTCTGCTTTTCATTTTCATTTTTTCTCAATTTTTTTTCGTTTTGCCTTTTTTAGCCTAACTATAATTAATACGATTATCTAATATATTTTAAGATTTACTGTAGCTCTGCCATTGATGTTTGAATGTATAATTCTGATAATATTTTGTTGTAATGATTTAACGGAGGGAGCCCATTCCTTATAAGCCTAGTGACTTTTGTTGGGCTTCCTCGCCATGAGCTTTTTATAGTTAGATTTTCTTGTTTTTGGTACATCTTTATTGCTAAACAATGAACTGAACAGAACTAAACACTAAGAAAAATACATTTCTAGTCGTGATCTATCTCCTGTAGGAAGTAACACCTTGCGAACCGTAAGACATAATGAAAACCCATGCAACTATTTTTAAAAAAAGGCTCAGTGGAAGATTCACGAGATTGTCATGATAGTGTAGTCCACAGGCGGCCCAAGCTCACTACAGGAACGCGGACGTGACTCTTGCTTGCGAGCGGTGTTGTGTTACAAACGGTTATTTATAAAGGTTTGTATGGAATGTAAACGGTTTTTCTTAAAAGAGAGAAAAAATGTTATGTTTTTAAATGAAATCGACTTACCTTATTGCCTTGTTGTTTTCTTTGTTGTTTGCCCACGTCTCGGGCCGTTTTGAAGTGTTTCCGGCGAGTTAACACATCACTGCTCTCAAGCAAGAGTCACGTCCGCGTTACTTTAGTGAGCTTGGGCCACCTGTGTGTAATCCCGCAGATTTTGAATTTGTTTACAGCTGTGTTTATAGTTTATCTGATAATCTCTAAGATTGTGAGCAGAACATTCATAAGGATTATTACTGCTAGTTGCTTTAGCTACAGTTATAGCTAACAAAAGGTTAAACGTTGAAGGTCAAAAAGTGAATTTAAAAAATGAGTGAAATAGGCTAAACCCGACCCATGTGTTGATCACGAACGCTTAAGCTGCAAAACATAACATTGACGAAATCTTACGGCTTCTGGAAAAAGGAAAGGCTCGCAAACTACATACAATATTAACCTAAAATGTAATTACTATGATGAAATTTATATCGAGAAGAATGAACCTTTTAACCCTTTAAACCCTAAGATCAAGATTTAGATTCTCATTTGTTGCCCCTATTCATTTCCTACAGAAGTAGTGGGGAGAAGTTGATAAAATATCAAGCAAATTCATCTTGTGTGATCATGTCGCTAATTCTCATGACCACTCTGTTTTACAAAGCATTGATATTACAAGGAGAAATTTGATGCTGATCACTCTTAGGGCTTAAAGGGTTAAAGCAGATTGAAGACCTACCATGAAAATGTACACTAAACGGATTGTTTTGCAGGATCAGCTGGGCGGTTGTTCTCTTTAATTATTTTAAAATGGGCAAAGCAGTCGGTTCACGGTTTGGGAAGTCAAGCAAAAAAATCAGAACTTTGTTAGTTTCGCTCGGGAAATTGCATTTACCATTAGACAGGTTAAGCATCACGTTAAACGGCAAACACGGATTTGTAACACGTGACCAAGTTTCCTCTTTACTTGTCGTTTACTGTTCATTATTTCTACACTAGTTTCACTCAATTTATTAACCATAAGAATTGTTTTGACCTGTTTTTATCTGCTCATTTTCCATTTTGAGAAATTCTCAACTTGAATCTGACGTTTGCTGTTTGCCGTATATGTGAAGCTTAAACTCTCTATTTGCGCAAATATTTTTGAAATCGAACAATGGTGGCTAATGCTGGAAACCGTTATCAAAAGAGGAAATAGACTATACATCTCCCATTGGAACACTTAGACCAGGAAACCAGGAGTACCTTTTCCGACGCTCCGTTGCTCCGAAAATTTTTACTTGAACGACCCAAAAAGTCGTGTTTCATTTCCCTTCCAATCGGAAACGGTTTGCTGTTTTTTAAAAGGGTAAACAACCAATGAGTCAATTATATTTCTATAGAACTTATGAAGACATAAAAGCACGCGCGCTTCATGGGCAATTTTATAAAATAAAAAAGTAAACACACTTGTTCTCGCAAGATGCTCGTGCATTTTTACTGGTGATTTATGTCAGTAATCGGCTCCTGTTTATGTACATGTTAACTTTTTGGAATTGTTTTGAACACGTGTCTCTTCAGTGGCACGTGCCTCTTCAGGAAACACGTGCCGCTCGTGCTTTGCTTAGTGTTCCTGTTTATGGCCGCCATCTTTGATTTTGAAAGCAGGCAGAGTACTTCCGCAAAGCGTGGGTGGACGTAACGCCAAATCGAATGAAGCGAGGAGGAGGGGGAATTCTAAGTTCTGGTCTGGTGTTTCACGAGGCAAAGAATGTTTATTTTCTTGATCTGGTATTATTGGCTCATTGATCGATTTGTTTTTGAGCATGCCGATGATCTCTTGCAGGAAGCCAGCCCGTAGATAACTAGTGGTTTTGTTGTCACACAATTAGTGTAAGGGCTCTACGTTCACGTTACTTTGTTGTTTGCCTTTGGTGTTATGTCTGGCTTTGAAGTTGCCCATTTCTACTAATCCCGATGAACAGAATACAGTCAAAGCTCCCATAAGTGACCACCTTAGGAGTGCGTAAAAGTGTTCACAACTGTTTACGAGAATGGGCTCTTATAAGTGACCATGTAATTAAACTTACTGAGGACTCTTGCTTGCGAGATTTTTAAAGCAAAAAGCTTGGCAAATGTTCTTATGCCTAGTTTTTACACGGGCCATTACTTAGTTACCAGTACATTCAGTTAAAATGACTTCGTTCAGTTTCATTTTTATTACTTATCACATATTTCGAAGTTAACAAACCGTTAGTGCTTATGTTGTTTGCTCCACTAAATTTGATCAAGAAATTAAAAACTTTTATTTAAGTGATGGCTAAGTGTTCACTACAGCCTCTGATTTCCAAAAGAGGTCGAACGCGTTTTCGCTCCTGAGAGCCCTTCATTAGTCACAGTCACAATCCAGAACGAAGAGTTTGCAGTGCTTGTCCTAACTCGACCTTGGGCCCGTTTCTAGAAAGTCCTAATCATTAACTGGCCCGGAAAGCTGTGGTTTTCTATACTCATGGTCAAGATCGAGGTTAAAAACGTTTTGCAGAAAATATGATAAAAGTATCAGTTAATTCTCATAAACGAACTCCATGGTTTGCTAGCCAGGCCCATCCAGTTTATATTCCTTATAGATTTTAGTCATTTTGATCCGGAAAAATTCCAATCCGAATTGATCGCCTCGTACGTGAGTTGCCACAAGGAAAGTGTGGAGTGTGTTTTGAAAACTGGTCACCTCTGTCTTTATCCGGCGTAGACGGTATTTATCCCATCGAAATCCCGTTTTTTCAGTCTTAATAAACGCGGTGCTGTAAAAAATCAAAAGTCTCAACAAGGAAGTTTTTAAGTACTTTGTCCCTGCAGCATTTACCTCTTTACTTTATTTTATATTTTTTTTCTTTTGATAATGATCTTTTAGGTATATGGGCATAGTACATTGCTGTCAGAAAAAGCGATTGAAAAACCTTTGTTAGTAAGTAGGTCCTCGGGGAAAGTTAAATTTTAAAAAAAAAAATAAGAAACGCCTGGGGCGTTTAATTGAGGAACTACGGTACCGTTGCAAACAAGACAATTTTGAACATGATCATGCATAATGCAAGTGTAGGGCTTATTCAATGTTTCCCTATAAAAATTAAGTTTTAGTCGTCTATAAACGGATCGTGGACAAATAGATACGGTTGTAATTGGACATCAAAGAGAGACAAAATTTTTCGGTAATCGTTGAAGTTTATATTTAACGTGTACATATAATTGAACTGTACAATCTCTAATTTCGCTGATATTTGTATAGTTATCAGGTCTTTAAAAAGTTATATGACCTGCAAGGTCACACTGACGATTCCTCAACTGTTATGACTCTGAAAGGAGCTTATATATCTAAATTTCATTTTCTTTGTATTTCAAGAACTAAATCGTGACAATTCGCGATACCATGCATACTTTATATTTACAGGAGTAGTTCTAACAAATTCAGTGTATACGCTGAGATTACAAATGTAGTTTGTGTGATGCCATGTTTCTTTTACATCAAAACGTTGTAGCATTTCAAGTTCTGCGAATGCGTTAAAGGCAGCTAAACTTTACATTAGCACATCTTTGTTGATTTTTTTAAGCCGTTCAGGCCACGGCAGCTGTCTTAAACTATTCACTAACGAGCAAGGCAAGCACGTCTTTTCCTTTTCTCCTTCGTATTTTTGTCAACCCCACTCCCTCACCCCTTTTTGCGCCTGTCACGCTGGCTATGACGAAGTGGAAATACCTGCCCATGCGAGAATCACGATCGATGTAATCCCACTCAAGCTTTTTGAGGATTTGCCAGTAATGATCAGCAGTTTTTGGAAGAAAAGTCAAAAAAGAGCTAATAAAAAATAAGTTTTTTCTCTTAGTCTGGTTTTTAAGCTGCACCGTTTGTAATTCAACAGATTCATTTAAGCTGGACCAGTTGAAAGATACAGTCAGTCAAAACTGTTACATTTTGGGACCAAACACAATTGTTTTTCTTATAAATAGAAAATAGAGACTCCGGATACAAAATGCCCCGCCCGCCTGCCAATTGAAAAAACAATGAACCATGACATTCATGGGGCCATCTTCAGTTGTGGACCTTGGAATTACCGAGAGAGTTAACCTCGTTTTATCCGTAAATCGTATTATTTGAAACTGGAAAAAACCTATAAATATCGGAGCAGGCCTCTCTGTCGATATCGCGTATCGATAACGCAAAGCGTGTGGTCTCCCGGTACCAGCAGAGTTTGCAGAAGGTCAGTATTGTAATGCAAAGTTTATGAATGATCTTGATAAAGCGGACGTATTAGTGTAAGCACATTTGCGTGGGTTGTTTCAGGAAAAGATGGTTTGCAGTAGCCTGAAGTAATTCCGAGAATGAATTTCCGTTCAACCTTATCTATGAAAAATCCTCAAATGCATGTCTATAACACAGTTGTCAGGGTTTTTAAAGCGAGGGATAATAATTAATATTCTCATCAAGTAAGAAGTGTTCCACATAACAGTACTAACAATACCTTGTAAAATGTATTTCCAAAATTGTAGGTATAGCTACCACACGACCAACTACGTGCAGAAAAATGGCTGGCATGTTTGGACTCTTTCATCCTTACACAATGAATGGAATCGAATTCAATCAACCTGACACGGGATTCCTTAACCCTGAGGTTTTAGGCTATAGAGGTAGGTTTAAAGTATTTTTGTACTTTTGATACCCCACGGCCTTTTTGTTCGTTGGGACGCGACCCTTTGCGTCATTTTCTACGGTGCCGGAGTTTATATAGCAAGGGCCATAATATAATTAACTGTTCTGGACAACCGTATATCTTATCGTTTTGCCTGAGGCTTTGATTTTAAAGCTCAACAAAAGACAAAAGAGGGGGTATGTTTTCAATACCAATTTCCTGGCGTCTTAATTTCATGCGCTTTTGAAATTGACAATACGCAACAAGGTCAACTTACTCGAGAAATCAAAGGTAAAATGATGAAAAGGTTGGGAAAAGAGATTCTTAGAAACTCCAATTTAACTGAGAACCGTAACTCGTGAAGTAATGCTGAATGTGGTAACTTTCCACTTTTGGAAGTAAATTATAGGGGAATACTGTAGTTCTGGGTTTTGAGTCAGTGGACGAAATCCTTTGTTATCATTCAAAGAAATCTTTTTCAGCCATTCTTTGGCATCGTTCCGTTTGCGTAGCAGTATTCAACAGAATGAAATATGGAAGTTTTGTTATATTTTGACTGCGGTCATGGAGGGGTTACCGGGGTTTAATTGCATTAGAGAAGTCTCACTTAAATATTCACCGTAAACTAAAGGTCCTGGGACATTTTTACCACAAATAAATCTCCAAAGGTCCCTTCGTATAATTGGTCACCATTTTGGACCCAAACTGACGTCATTTGAAAACTCGCATTGAAAATTCCTGATCACTTCTCTAAATAGAGTATGACTTCAATGTTTACATCTTCTATAGCGGAAGAAACGAGAGCGCGGGGATATTGCTCAATACTTAGCTTTCCATGTGAATATCACGCATTCACCTTTGTAACATGTGCTACAAGGAAGTGTTCATTTTTGGGAGAGACAGCCTCTGTCAGCATAGCACTTAAGGCCTGTAGTTAGATCGTCACATGTTGTTCACAAGACATGGAGATTCATTTATCAAACTTTTTCTGCTGTAGTGAACTCGATAAAACATCGGCTATCTTGGGTTCATCTTCTGCGCTCGGAAACTTTCGATTCTGAGAAGGCAGTGCTGGTAGTCATGCTGAACAAGAAGGTTTTGCACTTTTGCGTCAAAAACTTGTGTGACCATTCAAGTAAAAGCTATTAAACAGTAATTTGTTTATTGTACAGTACAAGGTGGTTCTAACTTTTGAGACTTTGGTTGAAAACTTATGGTCTGACCTTTCAAGAGAAAGCTACTACTATAAGCATTATTTTCCTGTGGTAATGTATTTTATTTTGCATAAGGTAATTTTAACTTTTGTCCACTTTTGAGTCGGTGAACAAAATCCTAGACTAATGTGACTATTCAAATGAAAGCTACTGAGCAGTACTTTCCTATGGTACTGTTAATTATGTTGTACAAGGTGGTTCTTACTTCTGAGGCTTTGGATGAAATCGTATAGTGTGACCATTGAAATGAAAGCTACTGAGCAGTACTTTCCTGTGGTACTGTCAATTATAAAAGTAGTTGAGTTTCATCGTCCGGGTGAACTTAGTCCTGAATAGGACTGTTTTTGTTGACAGTGACTTGTTGACTGTTAATAAAGTTGTACAAGGTGGTTCTTACTTTGCAGAGTTTGGATGAAATCCTATGGTGCTCTATGGTGTGACTGTTCAAATGAATGCAACTGAGCAGTACTTTCCAATGATACTGTTAATTATGTTGTACAAGGTGGTTCTAACTTTTGAGTCTGTGGATGAAATCCTATATTGTGACCATTCAAATGAAAGCTACTGAGCAGTACTTTCCCGTGGTGCTGTACATGCGTGAAATCCTGTGGTGCAGCCACTACATTTAAACCCATTTAGCAGTACTTGACATGGTGCTATTTGCTTTTTATCGTATTACAAATACATTTTAAGCATATTTTGACTGTCTTTAGGGGTCAGAAAGGGTTAAACGTAAAGCTCTTCTAGGAATCTAGCTTGCAATCAATACGACTATTTCTAATCTTTCCGCGTACTATAATTCTAAAACTTCCGGTAACAGTCACTTCCTTTGCTCAAAATACGAGGCCTCGAGTGCACGCTATACTATAAATGGGAACTTCAAACGCTGCTCCAATTCTGCGTTAGGAGATCTTTCTTGGTATTTCAGAAAGTGTTTCATCGTAAACTGGTCGAGTTCTCTATGTTTTATCTGAGTAGAACTTTTGCTCATAACTGATGCTTTCGTGTAATAAAATTTGCGCAATTGCAGTTTGAAGTGATGTCATGCCCGCAATAAGGAAACAGCTTATCTTTTTAACAGATTACAGTTAATTAAACTGAACTTGCGCATTACACGGGTCATGCAACTTCCACCTGGTCAATAATAGAGTATTTTCTACTGCAAAGTCGATCATGAAGTCATTTAGTGTAAGAAGTCAAACGTTTTGTGGAATAAATCCGACCTGGTGATTATTCACGTGAAACATATTTAGTAGTACTTCACGTGCTTGTATTTGTATTTGTTTTGTTTTGTTTTTTTTTTTAGTAACGAAATAGATTCAGGAATTTCTTTTCAATTCTGATATGTGCGCCCTTTGGGGAGTTTAATAAAAAGTTTTTCACGTTCACGAAGGTTGGTGCCGGCAGACAAAAATAGTCTTAAACGTTTACTGAAATCACTCGTAGTATAAGATACATACATGTGAGAGATTTCCTGCAGCTTTTTTGAATTTGGTCCACGCTGATTGATGACTTGAGTATAGCAACTACAGTCGATTCTCTCTTAACGAACACCTCTGTAAAACGGGCACCAAGAGTTGGCCCCTGCCTTTCTTTACTGCTTTTAGTTGACTCTTTATAAGACGGACATCACTCTAAGATGGACACACAGTGCCGGTACCAAAGGTGTCTTCCTTAGAGGGAGTTGACTGTAAAGTCAATTCTCTCTTAACGGACACCTCTATGAGACGGACACCTCCCTAAAACGGACACCGTTACAATTTAATCCAACGTTCAGTTTTGGAGGTACAGTCAACTCTTTCGTGGTCGTAAAGAGATGTCCGTCTCATAGAGAGTCAGATAAAGGGAGTAACGAAAGGCAGCGACCAACTCTAGGTGTCCGCTTTACAGAGGTGTCCGTCTTATAGACGTGTCCGTTAAGAAAGAGTCGACTTCATTCTTAGACCTTCATTCTTAGGCCGAACTCGACATACTGACCTAGCGATGTCGGCCACTGGTAGCTTATTAGGAGATAAGACCAACTGCTATAATCCGTAACATCTCTCTCAAATTATTCTGCAATTAAAAATGACGGGAAAAAATGGATTTTCACCAAGTTTATCAACAGTGGCGCCACAGTGTAGCTCGGTTAATTCAAGTAACTTCAGTTCATTTGATCTATTGTACCTCTTCCGGCATCAAAGAAAATGAGATCAGAGGCATCGTTTTTTACGCCCAAAACTGTTCCACTTTTCTCTTAAGTGCCATTGTCTCTTAAATCCTTCCTCTTCTTTTAGTACGGCGAAACCTTTGTGTGAGTCCTGTAAGTGTAACTCACATTACTTAGCCTTTGATTATTTTTTATACCATGACATCGCGCAATCTAAGGAATTCCGAAATCCGGGAAACTTTTACTCGTGGAAAATCAGGAATCCAAGAAATTTCTCTTGGGGAATTCGGAATCCCACTAAAGATTGGAAACGCGAATGCAAGTTCCACTGACAAAGAATCCAGAATCCAGTAGATTGAATCCGGAATCCGCGGCGTGTAGTCCATAATCCAAGACTGTCTTGGATTTCTTGACATCCGGTGAAGAACAGCCTTTGTGAATTCCAAAGAACAAAAAGTGGGGCAGGGTTGCTTGACAGATACTTGGCTGGGAAGGGTGTTCGACTCTTTTCACCCCTGTCGCTGCTTAAGACGCATGTTTCTACACGAGTCCATTCACCACTAAGATTCTGGATAAAGTGTTTTTTAATTCAAGATCGTGTTTGTCAACTTACGCCAGCCAGACAATTGCAGACCACACTTTTGTATTACTATTGCCGGGTTAAGGCCCAGTGTGGCGGTGTAACATGCTTATTAACCTTTTAAGCCCCAAGATCCACATACAAATTCTCCAGACCGATCTCCGTACATTTGTTTTAAGAATAGTTGAGAGAATCTGGTTTAAGATCAAAGCATCCTCTCTTTGGTAATCAATTGAGTAATTCTCATAACCTTTACTCTTGATGATCTGCGGATGTTGTTACGAGAAAATTGATGTTGGTCCCTCTTGTTATCGCTGATCGGGAAGGTACCCATAACGGTGTTTGCTAATACCCAGCTAGGATGCCAAACACACAGTGATCTCACAAACATAGCTTTTGCCTTCTTTTAAAGAATGACAATCTCCAGAACTCCCTACATCTCATTTCAGTCTAATGATAAGCATTCTTTTTTATAGCATCCATCAAGGTTCCCCAATCTTTTTGTCAACACCCAGTCATCACGTTCACAGATGTTGTGGTTCAATTTATCTTTGGTTTAAATGTTATTTTTCTTTGTTTTGGGGTATGGTAATGTATGATAATTACTTTGAAACAAAGGAAATAAAATTTAAACCTAAGATAAATATAAACCACAACAACAGAGACCAAACTGAAATCGTGACTCAAAGAATGGAATAGTGTCCGGCATTCCTTGGATATTAGTTTCGAACTCGTCCAAATCTGAATAACATACACTAGACCACGTACAAACGCTGTAAAAACTGACGAAATTGATGCTCGACGCCGCTTAAAGTGACTCCCGCCGCTTCCCAAAAATAGAACGATCTTATCAATAGTTTTTTGAAAAAAAAAAACGTAAAGATTTAACTTAAATTTTTTCACATATTTATAATCTGACATCTTAAAATAAAAACATCATAACCAGCGGCTGATATACAGGAAGAGAGATAACAGCATTAGTGTATTAAGCTAAGGGGCTCTTAAGTTTACACCTTTTTGGATAAAACATTATCTCTACAAAGCAAATTATTAAAGTGAAGATAATCTATTATCAGCAATCGATGTGTCTAATTTCGACTGAGAACATCACGAAATGTAACCAAAGGAACAAATCTTTAAACCTCTGAACCCAAGAAACTAATCGCTCAGATTCATCACGCGTGCAGACGGTTTTGCACTGTGCTTCGTTGTAGACGATTGCTTCTCGAAATTTTTTAGATATGGAGTTCGGCTGGCCGGGCTTCCTTCCTTGTTTCGGTTGTTCTCAGTGTCTTGCAACGACCTCATTTTTACAAGGTAATCTTGATGCATTTGTTCCACATGGTGTATAATTGAAAAGAACTTAACTTCAGCTGAGGAATTGTTGAACTGGAGAAACCATGGAATGCTGATGAGTCAGCTCTTTGTAAGGGGGACATCCACCCTAAGTTATTCAAGTCATAAATAATGACTTGCTAAAGACTGGGACCAACCTAGCTGTTCGTTTTTTGAGGTGTTAGTAAATAATTCATTAATAACTTGAGAGATAACAAAATTGACTATTTGTCTTTTCCTTTATTGTGACTTTTGAAGGTCCTCCAAGAAAGCAACGTCGAGAACGGACAACTTTCACCAAAGCCCAGCTTGAAATTCTTGACGCCCTCTTCGCCAAAACAAAGTATCCTGACGTGTTCATGAGGGAAGAAGCTGCCAACAAAATTAATCTTCCGGAAAGCAGAGTGCAGGTATTGTTAGTAAAAATCTTATACTTTCTTATGGTGCGTTCGATTTTCTCTTCTTCTCGCTTGCACAAAACTGAAGAATAGAAAGAAAGTTTTATCAAGATTCCATTCCGTATCATTGGGATTTTTAGGCCATATGAATGAAATAACGATGATGATGATGATTAATAATAATAATAATATTGATTAAGATGTTGATGATGATGATGACGACGATGATGATGATATTCTTTTTTTTCCTTCTATCTATACGTGTTTCCGTTATGATACATTTGCTGCAATATTTATGCAATTGAAATCGAGAGATTAGATTTAGTTAGTGTTTATGGGGTCATAAAATATCGTGACAATAAGAAGGGGATTAATGGTTGAACAGAATCGATGAATGGGATGACATTGGCTGTCGAAGACTAAAACTCTGTACAGGAGCTTATTACAGTGAAACCTCCATATAACGAAGGGCCAAGGGATTAGCAAGTTGTGTTCGCTATAAGAAGTTTTCGTTATATGGATGTTATTTCTGATATATTTGACTACTATTGGCACGAAGAATGTCGTCTTTTTTACCTAGGACTCGTCAAATTGAGGTTCCATTGTATTAACTAGACCTGTGATATTTAGGCCTAAACAAGACAAACGCAAGAAGAATGGAGTGAGGAAATGAAAACGTTTCCTTTCTCTCAAACACTCTGCTTCCGGCTTGTGCCTTGGAAACGCCCGGTCTTTAACCTAAAGGAAGCGATCGGCAATCCTCCCCAATAAAGTGAGAAGAGCTAAGGATTGGGCATTGGCCGGAATCTTGCACCCTCTTACCACGATGCAAAGCTTTTCGAATAATACATGCCTTTTGGTGCAGGTTTTCACCTACTAGCCGTTTATTTCGATGAGGAATGTTGTCTTCAAATCTGCTCAAAAAACTTTTGGTTGTCACGTGGTTGTCTCTTCTTGTGGCGTGCGTCCGTCGGCGCCACAGGCAAACCAATGTGAAGTGCACACTCCAAATATTCCCTTTGCTTTATAAAACGGTTTTTTGAGGGGGGAAAGCTGGGGGGAGTCGCAAGGCCATTCACTTTGTCATAAAACCCCTTTACTCTTTATCATTTGACTAATTGTTCAATGTCCCTTTGTAGGTCTGGTTCAAAAATAAGCGAGCAAAATATCGCCAGCAGAAGAAACAACAACAACTCGAAGCTCAAAATAAAGCAGAAGAAGATAACAGAGACTCAACGTCATCACCTCCAGGGGACCAAGATAAAACAGCGCCACAACATTTGAGTAACAACTTCAGCTTCAAAGGCGTCGATTTACTGCAGCCAAACAAAGACTCTCTTAAACAAAGCTCCCAGATATTAGCAGATATTCAGAGACAAGTAGGTTATCAGCCCTCTAAGTCAGGCAATAATAACATCGAAGACCTTCTTGCTGCTCTTTCGTCCACAGTTTCCTCGCAACCTTCTCAACTTCGCACGAGTAGTGAGCAGAGTTTCCTTGCAGTTAATGGCAGCATACCTTATTATGCACAACATCCTTACTTTCCCTCTGCAACCAAGTAACTTTTAGCCAGAACATGATCAACCTGCGAAAATTGCAAACATTTTTTACGCCACCATTAATTTTCCCGCGCAAAATGACGTCTGAGGAACGAGCGCAGAAATTCCATACTGATGACGTGTCACTTCCCAGATCTAGGTAGTGCTTCCGATTGATTGAAGCAAATTTCACTCGAGGCACAACCAATCAGAAGTACTTCCCAGATCTGGGTAGTAACACGCCATCTATAAATTTAGAATCTCATACGAAATGTCTGCGCCCGTTCCTCACAGGTCATTTCCCGAGTAAAACAAGTGATGGCGTCGCAAAACGTCAGCAATTTTCGCAGGCTAGGAGATGATTGAAATCATCCATTCAATATTTGGACAAGAAAATTGTTTATTAAATACGTACTTACCCTTATTTACAAATTATATCGAGAACTGCACGACCCAAATTTTCAGGGGCGTGGCTACCTCCTAAAGTAGGCCATGTAGAAATATAAAGTAAAGGACCACAAGGTAAATAGGTGATAGCTGAAAACAAAAAACGTGGCAATTGCCTATGCAACTTTGTTTTAACCTGCAGTTAATTGTTTCATTAGAATCTATTGTACTCTTTCCCGATTTGCTACGCAAGAAAGCCCGTGTCTAAGGCCAAGAGGAATGATTACCTTACCGTGGTGTGTACCTCTGGGAACATTTCTAGCTACGCCCCTGTAAATGAAAAGCGTTTTTTTGAATTGATCTCCTGTGATTTCCTCTAATTCTCAATCTCTTTTTCCTATAGTCTCTTATTTTTTAAATAATTCCTCATTCGTTTCATTTTGACTCCAGTACGTTTCAGGGGGAATGCGAAAGATCAATTTTCATTATTATAGTTTAGTAGTAATTCAGCGTTGCGTTTGCTTGAAAACGGTATTCAAGTTCGATCTGGAGTACTAATATTAGAGCTAAGTTCTTTTGTTCTTTTCTATAACCTGTTCAAAGATTGGCGTAAAGCAGTCATGTTTAACTCGCGCGCTGTTTTTTGAGCATTCCCGCGTTAATCATAACTAATTTCAAAATCTCAAGTACCATAAAAAATCATCGATTAACGCAATTAAAGTTACTATTGTGTACATTCAAGAGAATTAAAGATTCGACACTGTATTTAAGAGCAATAAATTTGTGTCTCAAAAAATCGGGCAGTTTGTATTTTTGATTAACCCCCTTACAACGGTAGCATTCTCTGGGAAAAGGTGGCAGTCGATTGGAATCGACACAGTGTTCATTACGAGACCAGTTTTATCAACCTCCTCTTACAAAAAAAGGTTTATGACCTAAACAACAACTGTCTGAGGACTAAAACAGATGTGATTGTCAGTTTCTTTTAGCATTTCAAGTTACCATAGCAACGATCGCCCTTGATTTTCGTTTTAAGTTGTAAAAGACCTCTAAATATTCCCTTAAGAGTTGAAGAAGGAAGGTCTGGAACTGAGAATCTTCGGCCGGAAGGGGCTTGGAAATGAGGTCGGTGGGTCGCGTGTGCGGGCTCTGTGAGAAATCGGCAAACTCCGAAAATTCCGGGAAAATCAGATCCGAGCGGCTCCGAAGATTTTCCGCTCCAGACTTCGCACCAGCTAGTCAAAATTTAAACGGCCCGTCAGAAAGCATTACACTACGCGTCGATAAAGTAAGTCTGTATTCAGGCATTGGTTATAATACTGTTGACTGTGAGAGCACCGTGCGCTAGTCGAAATCTCCGAAATCAATTTTTTTTCTTCACTTCCCCCAATGATACACCACTTTAGAGCCTCTCCCCCTGTAGCCCGAGAAAACAGCCGACATTTGGCGACGCTACCACTCGTTTCCCCGTCAAATGACGTCTGAGAAACGAGCGCAGAAATTCCATACTGATGACGCGTCCAGTACCCAGATCTGGGAGGTGCTTCTGATTGGTTGAATCAAATTTCCCACGCGGCACGACCAATCAGAAGCACAATCCAGATCTGGGTAGTGACACGTCATCGGCATGGAATTTTTGGCGGGGAAACCGGTGGTAGTGTCGCCAAATGTCGGCTGTTTTCTCAGGCTACTCCCCCGGCATCTTCCAAAAACATGCATGACCTTTTTCTTCAATTCTTTCTTGTATTAAAGTCTTCACGAGATCAAGGAGCTACAGAAACTGAAGACAAAGCTCGAGCAAAATTTTTAGGGGGCAGACTTACCGTATTGACGCCAGAATTACGCGCAAATGGCGACCTACTGGAAGAACAGGCGCTCCCTCGATCGAAAACGTTTTAGTCCCGAAAATTGCTTAAAGCGCACAAAGGGAGATTTCAAATGAAAGAAATTTGAAAACTTTGCAAGATCCACAAGTATGTGAGCCTACTCTGCACAAAATGCTCCGCCTCAAAACTCCTAGTGTACGGTACGCCATAATAATCATACATGGCGTCCCTAACTCCTTTCAGGTCACCTCCGCTGGACATGGATATTGGAGGCTCCGTAGACGCTCGATCTCGCCTGTTGTTGTTCCGATTTTTGATGGGAGTTGAATTTTGTTCGTTTCCACTCATATATCGCTGAAGACTCCAAAGTAGTTTCTCTTAGTCACATCCAGCTGGGACCTAACGTAGTTGGTAACAGAGGTCTCGCTCCCAGCGAGCAAAAAACTTGCTAACATTGTTGCTACATGCACTTGGCCTTCCCAAGAAGTTACATGTGCTGTAACTCAAGAATTGGACAAAGCTGTGAAAGAGTCTCGAAAGAAAAAGTTTCATGTGTTGAAACAGTACGTGTGATCAACTTCGCCGCGAATTTTTTCTTGGACCTGGACAGGTATTCCGGAGTTTAGGCGATATGTGGAGCCAATATTTCGAGAACAGCTTGCAAGACTACCGAGCCTAAAAAGTTATTCTGCAGCTACAGGTAAGCTTATTTTCATGTTTGTTGTCTTTCCATCATTTCCATCAAAGGAAAAGCATATTTCACATGTAGTCTGTGTAGGCACTGTCAGAAAATAATTAAGCTACACTGTACACTGTGACATGTGATGAGAAGCCCTTTGATCATGTCTTCCAGGAAAAAAATGTCAGTTTCATTGAGTTTCTTTAGACTGAAAGAAACTCACCAACAATTCCTGGTGATCTGACATAAAGGATGTCGTAACATGGCCACGTTTATTTGACTATTGGATTATTCATTTTATGAATAGATTATTGAATCAACAAACTGAATCATTTTTCCATTCATGAATTTATTAGTCCACTAGCGACTTTTCCACACTTCCATATGTCTGAGAAGTGTAGAACTAAGTAATGAATGACAAGGGGTTCGTGACTAGGGAAAAAGTGTGACATTATCCTTACTTTGTCAGACTATTCCACATTTCCACACTTTTGAGAAGTGTAGAACTAAGTAAAGAATGACAAAAGGATCGTGACAAGGGAAAAGTATGGCATTATCCTGACTTTGCCAGACTTTTCCACACTTTTACACTTTTGAGAAGTGTGGAACTAAGTGAGGTATGACAGAGGGATCATGACTAGGGAAAAGTGTGATGTTATTCTGAATTTGTCAGACTTTTTCACACTTCCACACCTCTGAGAAGTGTACAACTAAGTGAAGTATGACAGAAGGATTGGGACTAGGGAAAAGTGTGACATATTTTGTCAGACCATCCCGCACTTCTACACATCAGAGTAGTGTAGAACTACATATTAAGGATGAAAAAGGAAAGTAGGGATCTTGTGGCCAGCACTGGACATTTGTAAGGTCCAGGTTAGTTATCTTCCAATGAAATCACTAACTAGGACAACCAAGAAGAGGGAGTGCTGAAACCCCTAAAACAGAACATAACTGAAACAGTGATGTTTTGGTGATGTCAAAATTATTCTTGACAGGGTCACGCAAAACTGGAAATGTAAGATCTCAGTTCTATAAATCGATTCTTTAGTCCCAGGTCTTTCGAGGCAAGAAGGAAGGTTTTAAAACATATTATTGTAAGATCAGCTGCTCCTTGCTCCTGCTGTCCGTCTCATTGCTCCTTGCATCGCTAGCATAGTCCACAGGAAAGACCAGTTCCAGACCAGTTTAGGGGCTTGGGAAGATCTGTAAAAACCATTTTAGCCTGTGAACAGGCTCTCTGTTTGGGGAAAGGATGAAAAAATCCCAAGGAGAGGGAAGGGAAAAGGTGAGAGACTTTAGACAAACATTTGGGTCAGCTATTCTGCCTTCTTGTCTTGTAATTGCAGATCATCTGTCAGCAAGATCATTATCTGTTACTTGGATACATTGAAAGGTAATCAATTTCACGTCTAAAAAGGGGGTCAGTAGGCAACACACCACTTTTACCTCGTGCCAAAATGCTGCCTTTTCAAATAATTAGTTTTTCTCTGGCGGGTAGGTAATTATGTTCTGAAGAGTTAAGTTTTAACTGAGAAAATGTGATTTTTGCTGCTTATTTCATACTGACAGCTGGTGACAGGCATATTGATTTTCTGCGAACATTGTATCTGGTCGGCGTGATTTCCCCTCTGATGCAGGAACATTCATTGTGGCTAAACAGATCACTAGTCAAGTGCCAGAAGTTGTTATATTAGAGATCATCAGAAGACCTGTTTACTTGTAAGCGATTATTTAAATCAAATCGCATGCTACGTGTTGACCAAAAAAGCGATGTAAATAAAACCTGTCAACAGTCACTGTTCTCACCAATATATAGGAGCTTGCATCAGGATCTGATGCACAGCGGGTGCTGTGGAACGACGGTCTCAAATGTTTGTCTACAGGCTCCCACCCTTTCCCTTCCCTCTCCTCACGATTTTTTCACTCTTTCCCCATACAAAGAACCCGCTCACAGGCTAAAACCATTTAGGACATTTAACTGTTTTTCAAATTGTTATCTGCAACCCTAACATGCAACCTGCAAATTACACCCACCATCAGTCTAATGGTCTAATCTTACCCCTACCTGAAAAACACTTAGCCCTGGTGATATTTCTTCCCCTTCCTGGCAAACACCTATCACTAGTAATATGTGTTCCCCTACCTAGGAAACACATATCCCTAGTGTTATGTGTTTTCTACCTACAGTAGGAAACACATATCCCTAGTGGTATGGGTTCGCCCTACCTGGGAAACACATATCCCTACTGATATCTGTTCCCTACCGGGGAAACACATATCCCTAGCGATATGTCTTCCCCTACATGGAAAACATGTAGCCCTGGTGTTATGTGTTCCCCTACCTGGGAAACACATAGCCCTAGTGATATGTGTTCCCCTACCTGTAAAACACATACCACTGGTAATATATGTTCCCCTACCGGGGAAACACATATCCCTAGCTATATGTCTTCCCCTACATCAAAAACAAGTAGCCCTAGTGTTATGTGTTCCCTTACCTAGGAAACAGATATCCCTAGTGTTATGTGTTCGCCCTACCTGGGAAACGCATATCCCTAGAGATATGTGTTCCCCCACCTACCAAACACATAGCCTTAGTGTTATGTGTTACCCTACCTGTGAAACACATATCCCTAGTGATATGTGTTCCCCTAACTGATAAACATATAGCCCTAGTGATGTGTGTTCTTCTAACTGGAAAACACATATCTCTAGTGATATGTAATCCCCTACCTGCAAAACACATATCCCTAGTGATATGTGTTCCCCTACCTGGAAAACACATATCCCTAGTGATATGTACTCCCCTACCAGGAAAACACATATCCCTAGTGATACGTGTTCCCCTACCTGTGAAACACATATCCCTAGTGATATGTGTTCCCCTAACTGATAAACATAAAGCCCTAGTGATGTGTGTTCTTCTAACTGGAAAACACATATCTCTAGTGATATGTAATCCCCTACCTGCAAAACACATATCCCTAGTGATATGTGTTCCCCTACCTGGAAAACACATATCCCTAGTGATATGTACTCCCCTACCAGGAAAACACATATCCCTAGTGATACGTGTTCCCCTACCTGTGAAACACATATCCCTAGTGATACGTGTTCCCCTACCTGGGAAACACATATCCCTAGTGATATGTGTTCTCCTACCTGGGAAACACATATCTCTAGTGATATGTGTTCCCCTACCTGGGAAACACATATCCCTAGTGATATGTGTTCCCCCACAAGGGAAAAACAAAGCCCTAGGGATATGTCTTCCCCTAACTGGGA